TGGAATAAGCAATGTAAATGGCATAGAAACCTCCCAATTGAACAAACAAGTGCAGGATTGCAGTGCACCCAAAATCTCAACAAATGGCTCCAGTTGGCCAGCTAAAGCCTTAACCCAAAATCAGCAATTCCAATGAAAATAACATAGATATTGGACAATAAGAACGCAACCAACCAAATAGAGGTACCCAATTGAGGTATAAGACCCGCATGCTACATGAATGCTGCCAAATTCTGCGCCATGCTATGCACATTGTTAATTAGACATAATCACTAAGCAATAAGCAATGAAAGTGGCACAGTAGCCTTCCAAATTAACAAACAAAAGCAGAAATTACTCAACTCACGTCACTCCAATGGACTCAAGATAGAAGGCAGGACAATAGACTCAGGTGAAACCAAAAATGACCCCAACAAAGTAGCAAATAATGACAAAATGAACTCACCCCTAAAGCCCAAAAGTTGTCACCAATTGGAAAGTCCAATACATAACTCAACTGGGAGCAAATATAAGCACAAGGGTTTGGGTTTTCAAGCAAACAGCTGACCAAACACACAGGGAAGAAGCAATTCAAATAGGCCGCCCAAAACACTGATACATCCAACAGCACAAGCAATACCAGAAACAGAAGAAACCAAAACGGCAATCAATTGTGGCAAATAACTCCCAAGGCAGCCCCAAACATGCAATAGAAACTCCAAGCAAGGCACAGGTAAGGAAAATCAAGCAATATACCACTTGCTAATATCCACCCAAAAACACAAGAAAATGGCAACAACTCCAGCAGTTTAAAATCCAGAAAAAAAAAATTTAGAGACAGAGGTGAACAGCACTACCTCCACCCGTCAATTTGTTTGACAGGTGGTGATGGTGGACAGCGTCCGTAGTAGTGGCGGCGGTGAGCCGGAGCTTGGGTGAGCTGTGCGACAGAGAAGGAGAAGACCGCAGGGTCTGCGTGCAGCTGCTTGGTGGCGGATGAGGTGGTGATGCGGCCGTGAGCAGGGGCGAGGCACGCGAGGGAGCTGCGCTGGTGGATGGCTCGCCACGCGCGAGATTGGGCAGCGGAGTTGGCGGCTTGGGCGGCAACAGGGGGAAGATGAGCTGGTGTGAGGTGGAGTGGCTTGCGGCGCGATGCTGGTCGCGCGAGGTGGTGGCGATGGAGCTACGGTAGAGAGAGGGAGGCGCGGCCTCGGGTGAGAGAGCTGGCAGCCGCGAGGAGGGCGGCGGCAATCGGGGCGTTGGCGTGCGCAGAGGGAAGAAGAAACAGGGGAAGAAGAAAGAAAGAAGAAGAAAAAAAAAGAAAAGAAAAGAAAGAAAAGAAAGAAAAAAAGAGAAAGAAAAGAAAAAAGAAATTTTTTTTTTCTCTTGTTACGGTTAAGAGGAAAGATTTTTCTTCTTCTCTTTTTTTTTATTTATTATTTTTTATTTGATTTGTTATCATTTCATTTATTCAAAAAAAAATTCTTTTTTTTTCTTCTTTTTTTATTTTATTTTTTTGAATTCTTACCTTTTCCACGAACGTGACACGGGCGCGTCAAGAGAACAAGAGAGCTCCCAGAAGTTCAGGTCGTGAGCTTTTTGCACGTCACCACGCGGGCGCGTCATGAGGGCAAGAGAGCTCCCAGAAGTTTGAAGTTTCTGATCGTGAGCTTCCTGCTCGTCACCACGCGGGCGCGTCGTGACTGAATGGCACCTATAAAGCAGCAAAAACGAAAACTAACACCCAAAAATCAGTCAAATTCAAGGAAAACAGATTTAAACTATGACGTGAAACCAACAAACAACTAAAAGAAACAATTGGGTTGCCTCCCAATGAGCGCCTTTCTTTAATGTCTTTGGCTAGACATTATCATGTTTTGTTCATGGAGGATAAAATCGTGTGGCTCGTCTTAATGCTTCATCCTCTATATAGTCCTGATAACCCTCGTAAATAGAATAATCCTTGAGCATACGAGTTACGGGCTTCCATGGACTAGTGAATGGCGCCAAACGAGTCGATGATAATTTGCATTCTCCATTCACTCCTCCCTCACTTGCATTTATTGGTTCAAGATATCTTGCCATCGCCACTCTTAATTTATTCCTGTCATGAAATTCAAAATTGTCTGGTATAATAAAGTCAATTTCGTTAACAGGAATTGAAGAGTAAGAGTCAGGAGAATATTGATGAAAGAGTGGAGGAGATGTCACCGCATTTGGAAATTGTTCACTGGATTCTTTCACGTGAATGGGTTGCGGTTGGGGTTCCATTTCTTCCTTTTTGGCTTTTTCTTCAACTGCATCTGTAGATTCCTCATTTTGACACTCTTGCATCTCCTCGTCACTATTCAAGCAAATTGCACTCTCATTTTCTTCTAGATCAACAATGGTTTCGAGGGCAATTCTTCCATTTGAGAAGCCCATCGATTTATTCTGGATGTCAATAGACATAGTTGACCTGCCAGATAATTTAATGCATCCTTCATCATCTCATTCTCCATTAGTGTCTCCTGTTGGAATTTGTATGTGTTAGTAGCTATTGGTTCAACTATTTCTTCAAGAGACATACCTGACATAGATGCCGATTCTTGAGACTCATACTGCTGAAAATTCATTGGCCCCGTTGGATAATTATAATTGGAGTTATCCCACCCTCCTTGATCATACCCATATGGATTAGGGTTATACCCCGTTTGAGACCAGGGTGAAAAATCTCCATAATTATTGAGTGGGACATTCAGATTATCTTGATATTCGGGGCACATACTGGTTGAATGATCCCTGGCATAACAAATTTTACATGTTGCAGCAGCCATTCTTTTTCTAATAGAGTTTACTGCCTCTGCATATGCCAACTCAAGAAAAAAACAAATCTCATCGCCTTGCCCGGAAATAAAATCCAATACATCACCAAAATACGGAGTGTTAGAAGCCATAAACTATATAAAAAAAATAAGAGAAAAAAAATAAATAAAAAATGAAAACAAAATGAACTCAAAAGGAAACAAATTAATCTGACACCAGTCCCCGGCAGCGGCGCCAAAAATTGACAGGTTGTCGAAACCTGTGCAATAATAAAACCTGCTCAAACTAAAAGTGATTTTTGTAGATAGCGGTGAGCAGGGTCGAATCCACAGGGACTGGGAGTAATTATTTCTTTTCAAGTTCACAGTGACAAGGGGGGTGTTTTTGTGCAGAAGGTGACAATCAAAGAAATTCAACTAAAATCTAAGAAACTACTAAAAATTAAATAACAAATTACTAAAATCTAATGAGTGATAATTAAGGATCTAGCCAATGAATAACTTCAGCAATGGTTCATCTAATTGATCATTGAAGCAAAGGCAATTCCAATTATTCATCAATAAATAGGTTATAACTACCAAACAAGCGATGGCAGTCAACCCCTCCTTACTGTGTCGGTGATCAAGGTACGCCCATTAATCACTGCTCTAATTGAGAAATAATCCTAAGTACGCCCGTAGAATTTAATTCTCCAATTGCCTTACGTATTAGAGGAGCCCTATTCTAACCAAATAACGCACTACCAGGGTTATTTTAGATTAGCCCGCGTATTCCCCTGACACAAACCTAATCATGCCAGTTGTCACTGTTTTAGAGCAATTAAACAATTACGGATTTAATGCCCTAATTGACAATAGATTACCCAATCAACTAATTATCTGGATCCAAGACAATCAATTAATTAAATAACCATAAGTATAGCAATCAAGAAATATGCGGATACCAATAAGTAAAAGGAAAAGATTAAATTAAAACGATCTCACAATTTTAGGCGACCCAAAGCATCCGTTGTCCCTTGACTAGACAAGGGAAATTAGTTCATTGTTGCTAAACAAAGCCCACAAGAAATTGTAAAGAGAGCCGCGGCCATTGTCACGGATATTTGGAGAATTCAATTCGCAAGAACTAAAGGGGAAGAAAAGTCAAAGCTGTCCTCTTTGCTCCTGCCATGCGTACCAAGACCCAAAGGAAAAGTCACCAGTAAAGCTATTCCTATTTGCTCCTGACATGCGCAGGGAAGTCCTAATCAAAAGCTTCAAAAGGAAAATCGCAAGCTAAGCTCCTCAGCAATCTTCATACGTAAGAAAGAAACTAGCTAACAAGAACTAAGAAGAAAAGTCAACAACTGCGGCTAAGCTACAAGACGGAAAGCTCTCCAATGTGCGGCGGCTCCCCTTCCGGAGAGGAAGAAGAAGACCCCCCCTTCAGCCCTTCGTTCCTCCTTTTAATGCTGCGCTCTGCGAATTACCAAAAAGGCCTTGTATCTCCTTGTTCCAAAAATGCCCTGAATGCCTGCTACTTGAACTCTTTCCCGATGACTGTCAAATTGGCCTTGATTGTGACATTTTTATTCTACTCCCTGAAATAAATGCAAATTACGAAAAGTGAGTAGAATCTAATAATTAATTCACATTGGGTTAAGTAATAGGGGAAATTAATTATAAAATAAATGATAAAATTACAACCTATCAAATATTATTCTTAACAATCCAAAAAAAAAAAGGCAAGATTACTCTGGCACTAGTTACCAGCAATGTCGTTGATGAGAATAATAGAGACTCAATGAGACTGTGCTTCTTTTGTTTGAGAGTCTTTGAAGATGATACAGCTAAGACTTAACGTAAGAATAAAAAGGACAAGAAGAATAAAGCCATGTTTATTTATCTCATTCTTGCTCATAAGGGCTGATTTATTCCTAAAGTGGTGCTTCAGCTCTCACCGTGATACTAATTTCCGGAAGTGAAGAAAGAATAAATCATTTCAACTTTCTTTCTACAAATTCCAAACCATGGGGAACAAGGAAGGTAGAAAAAGAGCATTACTTCCGATGGAATCAACCTGATCCGCACCAAGGTCTTCCTTCCTATATAATAAATCCTTCTCAGGCACCAAAAAATATATGAAGTTAAAACCATTCTTCTACTTATAACCATATAAAAAGAAGCTAAAACCTTGCCTCCTCCTTCTTCTTGAAAACAAAAACAAAAAACTATAAAATGGCAGAAACTGTTGTCTCTTTTGTTTCAGATCATCTCGCAACCTTACTCCGAGAGGAGGGAAGCCTATTAGGAGGGCTTCGACAAGAGGTCGAACTCATCAAGGATGAGTTGGGGCATATGAGAGCTTTCCTCAAAGTGGCTGAAGCAAAAGAAGATGATGATCCCAGGTATGGGTGGCAAACCAACTATTTAACTAAATTTACTCATATTCGCATATGAATAGATGGGTATGGTATTTTAAATTTTTTTATATGAGTATAAATGGGTTACCTTATAATATCCATTTATTAAATGAATATTATTGGGTAACCAATCAAACCCAATTAACCCATTTAAAATTCTCTTCGCCCAAGTCTCTCCTCTTCCCCCAAGTCTTTTCTCTTCCCCCACCCATTTTTTTTTTCAAATTTTTTATTTTGTCATGATATTAACTACTTTTGTTTCATTATTATTATTATTTGTTGGTTTATCTTATTATTTTATTTTCTCTTAGTTTAGTTTGTTAACTTACTCATTTTTCGGCATTACCAATTTATGATAAGTTTTAGTCTCTTTTCTTATATTTCTAAAATGAAATTTTAAATTTATATATGAAAAAAATGTTACGGGTTCAAAATTTTTGGATTAAGTTTTTATATTAATTTTTATAGTACTTAGTTCAAATTTTTATATTCTTATTACTCAATTATTAAATAATATGTAATTTTGCGACATAGAGTATCAATGGAAAAAAATTGGGAATTAGACTTATTGAACATTATAAGTAAATATTTAAAACTAATGATGGGTACAAAGAGCGATATAAATTGATAACTTTAGTTTGCAAAAAAGAATTTAAATGAGTTTATAAAAAGTTAAAATAAATGGGTTATAAATGGGTAATTGGGTTACCCAATTCAGTTTTTGACAATCCATTTATACTCATCTAATTAAATGGATATAAATGGATTGACTCACTTATATCATTACCCATTTTACCCAACCCAAACCCGCCCAAGTCACCCATTTTGATACTTCTAATCCCAGGCTCCAAGAATGGATCAAGCGAGTGCGCGAAGCTGCTTATGACATTGAAGATGTTCTCGATGAATTTGTACTTCGCTTTGCTGGCTACCGACATCATGGATTCTGTGGCTCTCTTCAGAGAATTCTCAAAGCCATTAAGAGCTTGCGAGCTCGTCATCAGGTTGCCAGTGAAATTCAAAGCATAAAGTCCAGGATCAAAAATATTTCAGAATTACGTCGGAGATACCAAGATGAATTTGGCATCGACCACCGTGTCACTGGATCTTCAACCATGAACGACTCACGGCGCTATAGCAGGGATGATGCACTTCTAGTGAAGGAAGCAAAATTGGTTGGCATTGACCAGCCCAAACAACATCTGATTTCTAAGCTTCTCGAGGTGCACGATCACCAACTCAAAGTTATTTCAGTGGTTGGTATGGCTGGACTAGGGAAAACTACCCTAGTCAAAAAAGTCTATGAAGATCCAGAAGTTAGAAAGAATTTCCCAGTTCGTGCCTGGGTAACCGTCTCTCAAACATGCGACTTCCCAAAGCTCCTGAGAGACTTGATTCGGCAGTTGAACAAGGACTTCGACAAATCAGTCCCACAATCGATCGAGTCCATGACTACCGCTGAGCTGAAAGAATTTGTCAAAGATTTTCTTCGACGAGCTGGAAGGTATGCAATTGTGTTTGATGACGTGTGGGACGTGGAATTTTGGAATGAAATCAAATTTGCACTACCTGAGGGTAACTACGGCAATCGTGTCATGCTGACAACACGAAATGCCGATGTAGCCCCTGCCTCTTGCACAGAATCTCAGGATTATGTCTACAAAATGGAGCCACTATCAATTGAAGATTCGTGGACCCTATTTTGCAACAAGATCTTTAAAGGAAATCGTTGCCCCGCCCACCTGATGGATGTTGCGAAAGCTGTATTGGACAAATGTGACGGTTTGCCTTTGGCGATTGTTGCGATCGGTGGGCTCTTGGCTTCGAAGGATGCGAGCAGAATAGATGAATGGGAGATGATTCAACACAGTCTTGGGGGTGAATTAGAAGGAACAAGTAAGCTAGAGAGAGTTAAAATGATACTCTCTCTTAGTTATAGTGATTTGCCTTGGTATCTAAAGACATGTCTGTTGTATTTAAGCATTTATCCAGAGGATTATCTAATACAATGCCAGAGGCTGATTCTATTATGGATTGCTGAAAGATTTGTAGAATGGAGAGAAGGAATGAGTATTGAAGATGTGGCCCGGGGTCATCTCGGTGAACTCATCAGCAGAAGCCTAATTCAAGTAACTGAAGTGTTTTATGAAGGATTGCCCAACAATTGTCGAATCCATGACTTAATGAGGGAAGTTATTCTCATCAAGTCAAGGGAACAAAACATGGTGACAGTTACTACTGGACAACCAATGACGTGGCCATCTGAGAAGGTACGCCGTCTAGCAATCCATAGTAGTAGTAACAGTAGCAACATCCAATACCACCAACAATGACAATTTTATTCCTTTGAACACCTTCGATCATTCATCACAGTTAGTTCCACCAACCCATTACTATCCAAAACTTTCCTATCTGAAGTTCTAAGGAGCAGCAAGCTGCTAAAGGTTTTGGATTTGACTGATGAAGAGATAGAGGAAACACCAAATGAGATTTTCAACTTGTTGCATCTCACATACCTGAGCCTATATGGTACAAAAGTGGAAAGAGTCCCGAGAGCCATTGGAAAGCTTCAACATTTGGAATATCTGAATTTGGGGAACACTGGAGTTAGGGAATTACCCGTGGAAATCCTAAAGCTGCTAAAGCTTCGGTATCTCATAGTATTCAAAGCAGTTGATCCCTCAGATGAAGATTTTGGATTTCATGGGTTTAAAGGTCCGTCAAAATTGGGAGGGCTTCTCGCTCTACAAAGGTTAGAAACCATAGATGCAAGTAGTGGGTCTGTAATAGTTAAAGAGATAGGAAAATTGACCCAATTAAGAGTGTTATATATTACACAGTTAAGAAGTGACAGGTGCCGAACCTGTACAATAATAAAAACCTACTCGAGAAAAATACAGATTTTGTATATAGCGGTGAGTAGGGTCGAATCCACAGGGACTGGGGATAATTCGTTTCTTCTAGAGTTCAAGATATGGGGGGTTTTGGATTAAATGCTAACTAAATAAATTAACTGCAGAAAATAATTAAGTAAAAGAAATAATTAAGATAGCTCTAGCCAAGGGTATACTTCAGAAATGGTTCAGGCACTGATCATTGATTCGCAGATAATTCCAACATTTAGTAATAGATTAGTTATAGTTGTCATGCACGCGATAAACAACCAACCCTTCCTTAATTTCTCGATAGCTATGGTACGACCGTTAGCTATTTCTCTAACCCAAAAATAACCCCAGGTACGACCGTGGAATTTAATTTCTAGATTGCATTAATAATTAGAAAGGCCCAATCCTAACCAACAAACACGCTACGAGGGTTTGTTTAAGCTAGATCATATGCTCCCCTGACATAAACCCAATTACGCCAGTTGCTACTGAGGTAGAGATAACGAACAATTACGGATTCAATTACCCCTATTTAGCAAAATAGCCCATATGAATAATTAATTATTACGCACTAATCAATCATACACAAGAGCTATAACAGTTAAAAGCAGGAAACATATGAACACCAATAAATGGAGGAAACAATTAAAATAAATTCGATCTCACAGTAATTGTTGAACCAAATCTTCAGTTGTCCCCTTGACTAGAATTGAGAGGTTAGTCCTCCATTAATGGAGAACAACCATGCGAAAAAGCTAAGAAGAGAAAACTAAAAACTATGCTAAAAGCTGTCTTAAACTATTCATAAAGGCTCTCGATAAGAGCTCTCCCCGAAAGACCAAAGTTCCCTCCTCTAAACAAATGACTACCTCTCTCCCTTTTTGGTCTCTCAGATGATAAGGAAAAGATAAGATAAAAAGTCAAGTGCTACCTAATGTCCTGTTTTCTCGTTTCCTATTGCTAGTCAATTAGCTAGTACAATGCACTCCTCATCAGCACAAAGAAAAGGAAATCGTTTTCTTCTTCTCCTTGTGGGCCAGCAACCGAAAAAGGCTTCCTTGTAGCACCATATGGGGCCCAACTGTTTGAAGTCTCAATTGTATAGTGGAAAATCCCTCATTTTTTGTAGTTTTCTGTTTCACTTCCTGAAATTGAGTCCAATACCAAATATAAGTAAATATTAATAATTAAAACAATATTTGGCAAGGATAAAGGGGAAAATTAACAATAAAATAACCAACAATTAACACCCTATCAATTCCCCCCACACCTGAATCATGCTTGCCCTCAAGCATGAGAACAACAATTGAACACCAAAATTTAATAATGGCTATTGCTCCAACTACCGTATTGCCAAGGTACCCAGAAGAACATATATCAAGCATCACAGGTTAAAATCAAAGAAAAACCACCCGGTTAGCTTCCCAATCACCAACTCCTCCAATTTAAAGCAAACTAATCTAAGGAAAAGGAATGGTTGCTCACATCTATCAGTAAATGGTCCAACTATTAATCAAAATCTCGACATTAAGATCACAAACCGGCAAGCTGACTTGTTCAAATACTAACACAATCTTTATTTTATTTTTTTCTTTTTTTTTGTTTTTTGTTTTGTTTTGTTTTTTTTTTTTAGTAGCAAAAGACTTAGTCTATAGCCCTTAGAGCCTTTTGACGCGAACTCCAACATTTGATAGATGGAGGAGCCCGGTTACTCAGCTCCAATCGCTACAGGACCACGCACTCATAGTAACTACTACCTTTTGACGTGAGAATCGACACTTTAGGTGAAGATCCCCGGTTACTCAGTAGTAACCACTAGCGGAGTACAGTCAACTCTTATTCACAATCATATAGCACAATAACTAAAAATAACACAAAAATAACAGCAACCGGTCTCAAATTTCCAAACATGGAGAACTAAAATTAATAACTGGACCAATTCACATGAAAAATGCCAACAATCATTCCCTATGCCTAGAAAAGTTAACCAAAAATTGAAAAAGTTAAGCCATTACTGATATTCACCAGAGAGATGTTCTTGAACTCAACCACATCAACTTGATACCTTTTTATTAATAAACTTGGCAATAACAGAATTAGAGACAACAATCCAGCATCAAAACTTGGTATTCATATGAAGACTGACCACTAGAAGAAAAGAAGAAAAGAAAATAAACGAAAAAAAGATAAATATCAAACTAAAAATAAAGGAAAAGCCCTTAGAAACTTAAAATAAAAATACTAGCACCACAACGATCCCCCCCACACCTAATTCACACATTGCCCTCAATGTGATAAATAAATAGTAATAGCAAGGCGAAAGGCAACGGAACTTCCCTGAAAGTCGTCAAAATAGGGGCGGATCGGGCAGGAACTGAGGAGCAGGACCTGCATGGTGCATAGATGCTGCCAAATTCTGCGCCATGTGAGGTTCTAGGTGTCCTAGACCTAGAAGATGACCATGGCCTCACCATTGGTTCTAAAGATCACTCCACTTGACAAGAGACAACAATGGCCAACAAATAATAGAAACAGGAAATTCAAAGCAATAAGAATTGAAAAGCCAACCCAACGAATAAAATGCACAATTCAACCACCCAGAGGTCATACAAATACCCCAACACTTATAGCAAATGCAATCAATAAGTACTTATGGACCCCATGTAGTCAAATTCAGAATTAAGGTCGTCCAAAGTGCAACAACTGCTCCAAATACCCCAAGTAAGTCAATTAAAGGCAACCGACTTCAACAAGCAAATGCAAACTGCACATTCATGCCCCAATTCAACAAATAAACGCAGAAAAGTGGCCACAATACTAGAGCACAGCTCCCAATAATGCAACAGAACAGCAACTCGAACAAACTAGGAACTGTGCTAGTGTCTTAATAAATCAACAACTTTCAGCAATTAGACACAATCGGACCCAATATCGTAACAACTGTCTCCAATTGGACAGTCAATTACCCACTTCAACCTGCTAAAATTAGCAATTGACCCAAGAAAATGGCAACTCCAGCAACAACAGTTCAGAAGTTGGACAGAAACAACTCAACCACAAATGCCCAGTAGTCGATTAGGCAACCAATAACACAGGAGTAACAAATATTATGTAAACTACCCTCACCAGTACCACTGGTGCATGCATAAGGAAAATTGAAATCAAATGGCCAACCCAAGACATGTGATAACGCCAAACACACCACTCAGTACCACTGAATGGCAGAGAGTAACACGGGACCCAATTGACAAGTAACTCCCAAATTACCCCCAACAATTTCCAAACAAATAAACTGGCACAAAAGTCATCCAATTTTATCCCCCAGATGCAATAGAAATCTCAAATAGTCAAAGCCCAAATAATATTCAACAATATAATCAATACCAGAGAGCACCCCCAAATGGGGTAGCAAATAAATTGAATTCCACCCAAAATCTCAACAACTGTCTCCAATTGGACAGTCAATTGCACAACTCAACCAACCAAATGAATTGGGATAGTAACTATGGCCATTAAATCAACAATCAATGCACTAAGTATTATAGTTGTTGGATTGAACAAATAAATGCACAACTCTGCCAACTACAATTCAGTAGAGGCCTGAATACCTTAGCTACTTAAATCAACGGTCATAGGGCATCAAGAATTCAGCAAAATAATTTAGCAGGGCCCGAAAACCAAAATTCAACATAGAACCCAAAGTCTGTGCCCAATTCAATCTAGAAATCTATTCCAGAAATAGGACTCCAAATATAAGTAATGTACCTTAGAAAGTTGGCCAATAATTTGGGAAAAACAAGTACCTCCGCCTCATACCAGAGACACCAAGCAGATGGCCATGGGTGGTGGAGCAGTGGAGCAGCGGAGGAGCTGTTGGCCGTGAGCTGGTGACGAGGTGGAGAGAGAGCAGAGGGAGGTGGCGCGCGGTGGTGGCCGCGGCTGTGGAGCGTGGGCAGGCGGTGGTCAAAGGCGCTGGTGAGTGGAGGTGGCGGGGATGAAGCTTGGAACGGAGGCGGCGGCGATGGCAGCTGGTCAGCGGCGTGCAGCAAGTGGGTAGCCGGTGGTGGATGGCGGCTAGTCAGCAGCTGAGCGCACAAAAGGACAGGAAACTTGGAGCTTGGAGGTGGTCGAGAGGGTGGCAAGCTGGTGGTGCTCGCGTGGTGGTGGCGGAGACGCGCGGAGTGAGCTCGCCGCTGTGTGGGCTGTCGTGCTCGGTGGTGTGCGGAGGATGGAGGGCAGCCGAAAGAAGAAATAAAAGAAAAGGAAAGCAGGGCAGCGGGGAAGAAGAGAAGGAAAGAAGAGAAGGAAAGAAGAGAAGGAAAGAAAGAAAGAAAGAAAGAAAAAGAAAAGAGAAAAAAAGAAAAAGAGAGAAAAAGAAAAGAGAAAAAAAAATAGTTTTGTTTTGTTTTGTTTTTTTTTTTGGAATCTTAATTTTTTTCTTTTTGGGGTTTTTTTTTCTCAATGTTTTTTTTTTCAAATTTTTTCCTGAAATTTGAAATTCCAAAATTTGAATTTTTGAAGAGAAAGAAAAATGCCTTTTGAATTTTTGAATTTTCTCAATGTGAAATTTTGAAACTTTTTTTTTTTTTTCATGTTTTGGGTCGTCAAACACCGCGTGGGCATGCCAAGATTACAAAACATCCACTGACCTCAGGAGACCCAAACACCGCGTGGGCACGCCAAGATTGGTGTTCGTCCTCTGATCTCAGGAGACCTAAACACCGCGTGGGCACGCCAAAATTTCACTTCCTGATCACAGTGGAGAAAAATATCAAGACCAACTACTATCCAAATGAGAAACAACAGAACGAAAGAATTGAACAACTAATAATAAAACCAATATTTGGGTTGCCTCCCAAAAAGCGCCTTTCTTTAATGTCTTTGGCTAGACACTGTTATGTCTTGTTCATGGAGGATAAAATCTTGTGGCTCGCTTCAATGCTTTATCTTCAATATGATCCTGGTAACCCTCATAGATGGAGTAATCTTTGAGCACACGAGCTACGGGCTTCCATGGACTAATAAATGGTGCTAAACAAGTCAACGATAATTTGCATTCTCCATTCACTCCTCCATCACATGCATTCTTCGGTGCAAGATATTTTTTCATTGCCACTCTTAACTTATTCTTGTCATGAAATTTCAAATTTTCTGGTATAATAAAATCAATTTCAATAACAGGAATTGAAGAATAGGAGTCAGGAAAATATTGATTAAGGAGTGGAGAAGATATCACCGCATTTGGAGATTGTTCACTGGATTCATTCACTTGAATGGGTTGCGGTTGGGGTTCCATTTCTTCATTTTTGGCTTCTTTTTCAACTGCATCTGCAGATTTCTCATTTTGACACTCTTGCATCTCCTCATCACTAGTCAAGCAAATTGCACTCTCGTATTCTTCTAGATCAACAACGGTTTCCGAGGGCAATTCTTCAATTTGAGAAGCCAATCGACTTATTCTGGATGTCAATAGACACATTTGATCTTCCAGATTACTCATTGCATCCTTCATCATCTCATTCCTCATTTGTGTCTCCTGTTGGAATTGGTATGTATTAGTAGCTAATGATTCAACTATTTCTTCAAGAGACATACCTGACATAGATGATGATTCTTGAGACTCATACTGCTGAAAATTCATTGGCCCTGTTGTATAATTATAACTGGAGTTATCCCACCATCCTTGATCATAGCCGTTTGGATTAGGGTTATACCACGTTTGATAGGGTGAAAATCCCAATAATTATTGAGTCAACACTAGATCTATCTTGATATTCGGGCAGGTCCCTTGGGAATAACTTGAGCAAAATAATTCCACAAATTTGCAACAGCCATGCATCATAGAAAACATGAGTCTCAGTAACCCATTCAGAACAAAGTTCAGTATATCATCAAAATATGGAATGTTAGCAGCCCCAAAAAAAAAATAAAAATAAAAATAATAAAAAAAATAAGAGAGAAAAATAAAATAATAAAAATAAATAAAATGAAAAACAAATAAACTCAAAAAAAAATAAATTAATCTGACACCAGGCCCCGCAACCGGCGCCAAAAATTGACAGGCCGACCTGTTACAATAATAAAAACCTACTCGAGAAAAATACAGATTTTGTATTATAGCGGTGAGTAGGGTCGAATCCACAGGATTGGGATAATTCGTTCTTTAGAAGCTTCAAGAGTATGGGGGGGTTTTGGATTAAATGCTAACTAAATAAATTAACTGCAGAAAATAATTAAGTAAAAGAAAATAATTAGGATAGCTCTAGCCAAAGGTATACTTCAGAAATGGTTCAGGCACTGATCATTGATTCGCAGATAATTCCAACATTTAGTAATAGATTAGTTATAGTTGTCATGCACGCGATAAACAACCAACCCTTTCCTTAATTTCTCGATAGCTAAGTACGACCGTTAGCTATTTCTCTAAACCAAAAATAACCCCAGGTACGACCGTGGAATTTAATTTCTAGATTGCATTAATAATTAGAAAGGCCCAATTCTAACTAACAAACACGCTACGAGGGTTTGTTTAAGTTAGATCGTATGCTCCCCTGACATAAACCCAATTACGCCAGTCGCTACTAAGATAGAGATAACGAATAATTACGGATTCAATTACCTCTATTTAGCAAAATAGCCTATATGAATAATTAATTATTGCGCACTAATCAATCATACACAAGAGCTATAACAGTTAAAAGCAGGAAACATATGAATACCAATAAATGGAGGAAACAATTAAAATAAATTCGATCTCACAGTAATTGTTGAACCAAGTCTTCAGTTGTCCCCTTGACTAGAATCAAGAGGTTAGTCCTCCATTAATGGAGAACAACCATGCGAAAGAGCTAAGAAAAGAAAACTAAAACTATCCTAAAAACTGTCTCAAACTATTCATAAAGGCTCTCGATAAGAGCTCTCCCCGAAAGACCAAAGTTCCCTCTTCTAAACAAATGACTACCTCTCTCCCTTGTTGGTCTCTCGGATGATAAGGAAAAGATAAGACAAAAAGTCAAGTGCTACCTAATGTCCTGTTTTCTCGTTTCCTATTGCTAGTCAATTAGCTAGTACAATGCACTCCTCATCAGCACAAAGAAAAGGAAATCGTTTTCTTCTTCTCCTTGTGGGCCAGCAACCGAAAAAGGCTTCCTTGTAGCACCATATGGGGCCCAACTGTTTGAAGTCTCAATTGTATAGTGGAAAATCCCTCATTTTTTGTAGTTTTCTGTTTCACTTCCTGAAATTGAGTCCAATACCAAATATAAGTAAATATTAATAATTAAAACAATATTTGGCAAGGATAAAGGGGAAAATTAACAATAAAATAACCAACAATTAACACCCTATCAAGAAGAGAAGATGGAAAGGAGCTCTGCTCCTCCCTTGTCAACCTCACCAGCCTTCGGGAATTAAGTGTTGCTTCAGTTGGAAAAGGTGATGATTATGGGATAATTGATCTAAATCATCATCAACATTCTCTTTCTTCTTCTTCTTCTTGTTCGTTTCTTCGATCTCTTCGTATGCTAATTATGCGTGGCCGCTTAGAAACGATGCCAGTATGGATAACTCATCTTCAAAACTTGGTAAAAATAATTATGAACTGGAGCGGGTTAAGGGCTGAGGAGGATCCACTTGAATCCCTCCAACATTTGCCCAATTTGGATGAAATTAGTTTCTGTGGATCTTACCAGGGAGAAAGGTTGTGTTTCAAGGCTGGAGGGTTCCTAAAGCTGAAACGGTTGTGGTTAAGGAGAATGGAAGGGTTGAGATGGATGACAGTGGAGGAGGGTGTGTGCCCAAATCTCCGAAGACTATTTCTGGAGCAACTTCCATTACTAGAGGACTTACCCTCGGGAATTCAGCACTTGACCCATCTTCAAGAGCTGGGTTTGTATAAGTTGAGTTCTCGACTGATGGAAAAGGTCGAGAATCAGGAGGAAGACAGTGAAGATTACAGAAGAATGGCACACATTCCTGAAATTGTCATTGGTTTTTATACAGATGATGGTGGATGGAGTATCCGCCGGCTATGGGGGAAGCAGAAGGAAACAATTCTTGCCTAGCACTAGCAGCATCCCGTGGCTTTCCTTTCTCTTCTTCTTCTATTTTTCTGAGAAGTTTCTGAAGTTTTCTATCTTCTCCATTGCGTGTAGTATGGTGCATTGCATCATCATCTTGTTCATATCCTGCATTTTGTTAATGTATTTTGTTAACTGTTTTTCTTTAATTTTAACTTCAGCAAATGAAGCATTCTTACCTACCTCCCCAAATGAATCAATTTGTCCATAAGTCTATATAAAGATTGCAATGCATATAGCATAGTGCCAAATTTGAGAATGACGATCTTCTTTTCACTCTTCAATTTTAGATAACAAAAGGGTCTTATCCCAATCTGTTAAGCAATATGCTTCCACGTACGTACGTATAGCTGTAAATTACAATTCGATTATATTACTTCATCCACACCCATCCATTTATAAGTGAATTTGCATGCGCAATGAATTTTAAATAGGTTTATAGGTTTAGATGGGTGAGTCGATCAAACAATAAAGTCCAATTCATGGCATATACATCAAACATAATCATATTTCAGAACAGAACAGACACTATTTTTAAACAGAGCAGAAGAAAAGAGCGGACTAAAGATCAGATAGACAAGGGTGGAGTAGATCAGATATGAGTAGTAAACAATTCATAAACATAATGGTTTAAAGATATCAAAACATAAATGCAGTTAGTTCAACAGTATTTTGACTTCACCTCAACATGACAAAGAAACATCGCACATAAATGAATATGTCCTCTATTCTCTAACTTCTTCTTACAGGAAGTTTTTCTATCAAAAAATCTATACATTTTTTCTGAGCATATTCCCCAATCACCTTTTTATTTTATATATATCAAATCGTTACAATATATTTTTTTTTTACAAAAACTGCATATATTTTCTTTTCATATGATTATGTTGGATGTATATGCCATCAATTGCACTCATTTAGTTCCCGTCACAAGCAAAACTGGTAACATCTAAATTAACCAAATTTTATTTCTATGAATATGTGGACTATAGATAAAATAATAATGCACGGCAAGTGCCTTAATCCTTGCTATTTTATTTGTCAAATCATCATTTATTTCCCCTAGACTCATAAAGTCCAATATTAAACCGATGACTTATATATTGCTGGAATCGCACATAATATTTTGTGAATGATACTCCTTAGTAGGGCTGCAAACGAGTCGAGTCGAGTCGAGTCGAGTTTTGCTCTAATCGAGTCGAGCCTTGATTTAATTTTGTCGAACTTGAACTCGAGCTCGATAAGCTGACAATTTTGAAGCTCGAGCTCGAAAAAATAAAAATAATTATTTTATTTTTAAAAAAATAAATAAAATAATATTTTTTCTTAATAAATAATAAAATATTAAGGATATTTATGTAATTTTACTATTAAAATAAAAAAATAAAAATATATATATACTTGAGCTTGCGAGCCGGCTCAATATTTTGAATTCGAGTTCGAGTTTGACTTTGACTCGACTAGCTCGAGCTCGAGTCGAGCTTGAATGAGCTGCTCGTGAGTTTCAGTTGCACCCCTACTCCTTAGTGATTTGTGCAATGATATCTAATTCGGGTTGGTTATCACGAAACCGATAGCCAATATGAGTATGTAATTCTCCCGTAGGAACTTCACCAACAAATTTTCTTAACCCTTCAAAAAAAAAAACCATTTTCACCAATAATAATAATAATAACAACAACAACAATAATAATGTTTGGTTATTAGATAATGTTCTAATTTAGTGAGAGAAAAATCCAGAATAAATTCTATCCTAATGTGTGGTTGTTGAAGACTAGTAAGTAGTAATCAAATGCTTAGTGGCCCTAGGTGAAATCATTAAAGTGCTTAACACGGCAAAACCTGTGTTCATCATCATCATTGCAAATTGTTCCTATTTTCATCAGACTGAAAACACATAATATTGTAGAGATAGTTGCCTCGGCAAAATCTTGAGTACATAAGCAGGAATAATTAGAGTAAAACTTTCCACTCTAAGTAACTAGACTTTTTCCTTAATCTCCTATCGAAGTTACAATGATTTGCCAATTTTTTAGGAGCATAAAAATATGATTTAAGAAGCTCGTTAACTTCTAGCTGCGTATATGAGAAAAAAATAATAAACAAATAAAGGGCGACTTACAGGCTACAGCAGATGCAGCTCACCAAAGAGTTGAAGGCCAAAATGCAAATCCATCCATCATACTACATGAATAACTTGCCACAGAATCATGATGTTTATTCCTCAATCCAAAAATGTGTAGCTTTCTAGATGCATTTTTCCATACCAGATAGAGAAAAATAAAAGATGCATGAGATTTTCCTTGGTTTATTATACGTGGAAATAACATTGAAAATCTAACGGCAAATTCCACGTTACCCTCCCGTGATTTAGTATTTTTTACATAACTCTCATATAATTTCAAAACCTATATATAACTCCTTTATGATTTGAATTAAAGTATCAAAGTGACGAAAATAATCATTCATAATGAAATCACCTAAAATGTAAAAAATACCCTTATGTAAAGTTAAAAATTATTTATTAATTAAGGGGGGTTATGTGTATATTCTTAAAACTATAAGGGAGTTATATGGTAAAGTATTAAATCATAAAGAGATTATATGTTAAAATATAAAAATCATACAGGGTTAGTATGTCATTTATTTATAAGCGTAATTTTGACATTTTCAGAAGTTCCGTTACGAATGACTATTTCCGTCACTTTGACACTTTAATCTAAACCATGAGAAATGTATGTATAACTTCTGAAGCCATACGGGGTTATATAAAAATCTAAACCACATGGGTAAAATGTAATTTGCCCAAAATCTAAATACTCTCTATATGATGATCCAATAGTTAAATATCCTTCTATTTCTGTCCTAAAATATTTTAGTAACAAAATTAAATGGCGTTCTCGTCATTTTGCCCTCAACGAAAGCTATCCTCTTTCTTGATTGCCTAGAGCCCCTGCACCCTTTCTCTCACTGGGAGTTCTAACTATAGTTCATTTTGTGAGCAACATTACTGATTCACCACCAATGGGTATTTTTTCATGGTTCAAGGGAACCAAAAACGATACCAACTCCAAACCCGCGACCCAAAAATCGGAACCGGTGAAAACCCAATCCGCTTCTGAAGTTCCAGGCATGAACGGAGCAGTGGAGGTCCGACGGCAAGGCCCACCACCAGCTGATATCACAGTTTTCGAATTCGGTTCCGTTGCCGCTTCTGCCGACAAGGTCACCCTCGCCGGCTTCTGCCCTGTTTCCGACGAGCTCGAACCTTGCCGCTGGGAGATTCTGCCGGCTAAAGGCTCCGACGCCCCTCAATTTCGCGTAGTCTTTTGACGGAAAAATAATTGGCGAAAAAGAAAGGGAGAATTTTCAGCTTAGCTTTTGAGGAAATGGTGAGGAGGATTAAATCCCAATCCTGAGTAGAGTTTCTTCAGTCTCATATGGGTTTTTATCTATGTTAAAAATACAAAAAAGCTTGTATCTTTTTTTCTCTTTCATTTTTGAAGTTTCTCTGTAATTTAGCTCTGTTTGACACTTTGATTAGAATATGATAAAGACCTTTACTGCACTTGTTTTTCCTTTTTTTTGGTTGGGTCCAAATTTGGGTACTATTGGCTTGAAAACATGAGGAGGAAGAGGAAAGAAGTTAATTTGTTGTGATAGATTGGTTATTGCGTTGTTGGATGATAGTTGCACATTTTCTCCTGTTTCCTGCAATTTGCTGTAGAATTATCATGGAAAAGGGAGCCCTTGAAGCCCTAATCAATGAAGGGTTCAGGTTTTTAGGCCAAATGTGAAAGGCATTTGGACTGATGTTTGTACAAAATGTACTAGTATGTGTACACGAAAATACATTTCACGCATGAAGGCCTTCTATAGATAGCCGACCATTGTGCTTTCTTTGTCAAATAAGGTTCCAAGCATGCCCTGTTCTTGAAATTTTCCCTGTTATTAACTGGACTTGACAGAGTGGAGAAGCTGTAGATTTGTTGGAGTCCTTTTATCTTGTTTTACAATGTAAGAACTTGGCTTTTCTTTGCTTAAGAGTGTTTCAAGGAAGGATGAGGTGGTGTGAGGGCTTTTATAGACTCTCTGTCTAGTAGTTTAGATCTGCTCTGTGTTTGTGTCTGTGATTGCGCTGGCAGGGTTGCGAGGGGGATGGAGGATGGGGAGTGTATGTGTTCGTGTATTGTGTATGTAAGTATATAACTATGTCTGTCAATAAGGATGAGCTTATATGAATTGGTGTACCATGTAGAGCATATGTCAAGTCATGTTGAAATATATGTGGGCAGAGAAAGCTTTGAGCCTAAACTCTTCATGCTTTTTAAGTTGCTTTTACATTTGCTTGGTTTGTTTGTCAAAAAAAATTGAAGCAATTGCATTCATTTTTTACATTTGATTCTATGATTTGGATTCTATATTTTGAGGGAAGGGAGACTTTAGAAGCTTTTGGTTGATGTTAGTACCAAGTAGAAGTTTTCAAGGACTGATTTGAAAAGTAGAATGGATGAAAACACTACATGTTTGCCAGCTATTAAGAAAAAAAAAAAAAAAGGCATATAGGGTGTGTAGTTGCCTGTTTCTTTGGAAAATTCAGCTATGGAACAACACATAGAGGGCGTGGTAATTACAACATTAAGTTTTCAGATTTTATTTGGTTTGTCAATGATGTTTTGCCCCCTTCTTCTTCTTCTTCTTTCTTTGGCAAAGTTATGATTGCAAGTGTTTATTGGATTGCTTAATGACGAATGAACCATTGTTATCACAGAAAAGGAATATAAGGTCAATATTGCTAGGTTTCACCATATGGTGGAATGTGATGAAAAGTATGTACTTTCCGCCATAATGAGGATCTTTTTGTATAAAGATTAAGTATAAAGAGGACACAGTTCAATCCTTATTTGTTAAAGGTTGATGGATCTTTTTGCTTGTAATGTTTTTGGTGGAACCAAAACATTGAAAGTTTTCCATGCTTTGTCTTGGCTCCCAATGAACGCTGATCTGTTTGTAATACAACATTCTGGTCAACTTCTGTTCCATAGTTACAAATTGCCTGCCTTCAGGAGTATCTTTGATATTATGGCTTCTTCCTTCAGAAATTCTGCAACCTTGTACATTGACACTGACAGCAAGTGTGGTATCTGATGCGGTATATGACCTTAATGGCGAGATTGTTTAAACGGGTACCGGGGCGGGGTAGCCTCCTGCGGGCCACTCAGTTGCCATCCTTAGTCTTGAGTTGCTTTTTCTGTTCCACTCCGAAGAAATTCACTTTCCTCTGCATCAGAGTCTATTACTCTAGAAAGAAATCTATAAGACATTATATTCATGTCAGAATTTATTATTTTAAAAAGAGTTCTCTTTATTATCTTTTTTTTTCATTTTCTCACAAAAAAGCAGAAAATTCAACTCTACAATAAGAATAGGAATGAAAAGTATACTAGTTGGTAGACAACTCCAGTTCTAGTGAGTAATAATGAGATTGGCTTTTATGTTCAGATAGCTATACATATGTTATAATGTATCAGCAAAATCATCTTAAAATCTTGATCATTTTTTTCTTTTTCTCTATTAATTATTTATCCTTTAGTCTGGTGCTAGCTGTAGAAGGGAAAAAAAAAAGCCAATATCACGATGTTTAGTCAACCACCAAATTAGTGTCTTAACTTTCTTGTGAAACACAAATTCCACTAACTATTAACTTTGGAGGTTAGGTTTATGTTCTTCAAAAATCAACTCCATTATTCTCCATTCTATGGATCAAGAATCAAATTTTATCTTACCAAGGGACCAAAAAAAAAAAAAAGGATTTTGTTTGTGATATACGGCCTCAAAAAGGGTGGAGAAAAAACAACGTACATTTCAACATCTTGAATGAAGGCCTCTTTTTTTTTTGGGTTGTTAAGGCGATTGTTTTCATTAGTCAAGGAAATAGATAATGCCAATGACTGACTTAGCACTAGCATGTGATGAGGCAGTGATAACAACGGACAAGATCAAGAAGTCTAGTTTATCTCTAACAGTAACAAGGATATGAAATTTGTGAAGCAAATTTTGCCAAGACTTGCATTAAGTAGCCACTAAACATTGAAGCAAAAACCTATGGGCTTACCGCTGATCCGCTGCCATCCTTAGTCTTGAGTTGCCTTTTCTGTTCCACTCCGAAGAAATTCACTTTCCTCTGCATCACATGTTCCTGGAAAACTCATAGCTGGCTTCCATTTGATTCGGAACTGTCAATTTTCTTTTGGGGTGGGGTTTTCTTCTCATTCTCTTGCGCTCTTTCCACTTTAACTACTCAAACACGCGTTTCATGTCTATACTGTAAATTTCGTCTACACTGCGTTGGACTGGTTTGTTCCTTGATATTCCATCCGTTTTTATTACAAATACTAGTTGGTCCAAAGGGTCAAAAGAAAAAAAAAGCAGAAATTAGTTCCATAGAAGGAGGAGTTTATATATGTCATAATGTCAGCAGAAGGGGCAAAACATTTTGCAGTAGTTTTATTTCTTCGTCAAAGAAATCAATAATGTCCAGTCCAGTCCAACCGCGTTTTAACCTTATTCCTTCTACTTGTAAAGAAGGACCACAGTTGAACGGTGCTCCTTTGTTATTATCCGACCAAAGGACCCACAGTTGAAAGAAGGAATGTGCAAACAGAAATGAGTCTTCTTAATAGCTTCCATGATTTTGTATTGTGGCAGGTAAGGCAGCTTCGTCTTTCACAATCAGATGTTTCTTGCTTTAGTTTCTTCTAATTGGTTAATTCTTTCTTTTTCTGTTTAACGCTGTTTTTCTTTTTGATAAATACTGCACCGAAGAACATCAGCTTATGAATCTGTATAACTTCCTCTTCCTTCTTCCTTTCAAGATATTACAACTGGACTGTCCTATCCTATAAATCAGAAGCCGCCTTCCCCGACATTCTTAGGTTAAAAAGGAAGACTGAAAATGGCAGCAACTGTTGTCTCTTTTGTTTCAAATCATCTCGCAACCTTACTCCGAGAGGAGGGAAGCCTATTGGGAGGGCTTCGACAGGAGGTCCAACTCATCAAGGATGAGTTGGGGCATATGAAAGCTTTCCTCAAAGTGGCTGAAGCAAAAGAAGATGATGATCCCAGGCTCCAAGAATGGATCAAGCAAGTGCGCGAAGCTGCTTATGACATTGAAGATGTTCTCGATGAATTTGTACTTCGCTTTGCTGGCTACCGACATCATGGATTCGGTGGCTCTCTTCAGAGAATTCTCAAAGCCATTAAGAGCTTGCGAGCTCGTCATCAGGTTGCCAGTGAAATTCAAAGCATAAAGTCCAGGATCAAAAATATTTCAGAAGGACGTCAGAGATACCAAGTTGAATTTGGCATCGACGACCGTGTCGCTGGATCGTCAACCATGACCAACTCATGGCGCTATAGCAGGGATGATGCACTTCTAGTGGAGGAAGCCAAATTGGTTGGCATTGACCAGCCCAAACAACATCTGATTTCTAAGCTCCTCGAGGGGCACGATCACCAACTCAAAGTTATTTCAGTGGTTGGTATGGCTGGACTAGGGAAAACTACCCTAGTCAAAAAGGTCCATGAAGATCCAGATGTTAGAAAGAATTTCCCAGTTCGTGCCTGGGTAACCGTCTCTCAAACATGCGACTTTCCGAAGCTCCTGAGAGACTTGATTTGGCAGTTGCACAAGGAATTGAACAAATCAGTCCCACAATTCATCGAATCTATATCTACCATTGAGTTGAAAGAATTTGTCAAAGATTTTCTTCAAGCAGCTGGAAGGTATGCAATTGTGTTCGATGACGTGTGGAACGTGGAATTTTGGAATGCAATCAAATTTGCACTGCCTGAGGGTAACTACGGCAATCGCGTCATATATGACCTTAATGGCGAGATTGTTTAAACGGGTACCGGGGCGGGGTAGCCTCCTGCGGGCCACTCAGTTGCCATCCTTAGTCTTGAGTTGCTTTTTCTGTTCCACTCCGAAGAAATTCACTTTCCTCTGCATCAGAGTCTATTACTCTAGAAAGAAATCTATAAGACATTATATTCATGTCAGAATTTATTATTTTAAAAAGAGTTCTCTTTATTATCTTTTTTTTTCATTTTCTCACAAAAAAGCAGAAAATTCAACTCTACAATAAGAATAGGAATGAAAAGTATACTAGTTGGTAGACAACTCCAGTTCTAGTGAGTAATAATGAGATTGGCTTTTATGTTCAGATAGCTATACATATGTTATAATGTATCAGCAAAATCATCTTAAAATCTTGATCATTTTTTTCTTTTTCTCTATTAATTATTTATCCTTTAGTCTGGTGCTAGCTGTAGAAGGGAAAAAAAAAAGCCAATATCACGATGTTTAGTCAACCACCAAATTAGTGTCTTAACTTTCTTGTGAAACACAAATTCCACTAACTATTAACTTTGGAGGTTAGGTTTATGTTCTTCAAAAATCAACTCCATTATTCTCCATTCTATGGATCAAGAATCAAATTTTATCTTACCAAGGGACCAAAAAAAAAAAAAAGGATTTTGTTTGTGATATACGGCCTCAAAAAGGGTGGAGAAAAAACAACGTACATTTCAACATCTTGAATGAAGGCCTCTTTTTTTTTTGGGTTGTTAAGGCGATTGTTTTCATTAGTCAAGGAAATAGATAATGCCAATGACTGACTTAGCACTAGCATGTGATGAGGCAGTGATAACAACGGACAAGATCAAGAAGTCTAGTTTATCTCTAACAGTAACAAGGATATGAAATTTGTGAAGCAAATTTTGCCAAGACTTGCATTAAGTAGCCACTAAACATTGAAGCAAAAACCTATGGGCTTACCGCTGATCCGCTGCCATCCTTAGTCTTGAGTTGCCTTTTTTACACATTCTATCACGCGAAATTTATCGGTAATATTAAAACTGCCAAGGTTTTATCATTTAATGGTTGAATTAATCAGAATTTAATGGGGAAAATGCGAATTAGATAGGATAAATTAATGAAGAGATAAAAGATGAAGAAGATTTGAGCTTACATGCAGGAGAGATAATCGGAATTGAGCTTGAGATCGCCAGCTAAGTCGAGGCTTGCAGCAGAGACAGAGAAAAGGACAACAGAAGGAAAAAATTTGAAGAGAGAGAAAAAGTCAGCCAGAGAGAGAGAAAGAGAATTGATGTTGAAAAAAATGTCAGGTGGACTTTTTTGCCCTTTTACTGTTCTTTTCTTGTAGTTTTTTAGTTTTCTTTATTTGTTTAAAAAGATTTTTGTGTTTATTCTGCAATTTTCTTTTTGTTTCTTTTTTATTAGTTGTTTCAGTGTTTATCTTTCAAGCTTGTGTGTATGTCTTACTACTAATGAAATGACTTGGCTATCCTCGAACTCTTTTTGTCTAATTTTCTTCATCTAATTCGAGCTGTGCAAACATAATTGTGTTAGGATATGTATTATTTCAAATTATATATATATATATATATTTTTTTTTTACATCACAAATACGTTTTTATTTTTCATATTTTCAATCATTTTCTTATCTCATACCTATTTTTTACATCACAAAAATTGTTTACCTATTTTTTAATATTTCTTGTATTATTTTTATTGTTTCTAATTAATATTTCTTTGTTGTTCTTAGCTCAATTGGGCGCCAGGAGGGATTCTGTCCCTCCTTGGATACCCTTTGCTTGCATGTCCTGTTCAAGATTTTCTGGACATTTTCAAAGTTTTCGGAGGTAATTCTTTCCGAATTCTTAATAAGCTTAGTTGGGCTCATTTCCATCCCCCTTCCCTCTCCTCCTAATGTAGAACCAATTGTAAAAATATTGTAGTAAAAAAAAAAAATTTTTGTTGCTTGCATGTACTAAAAAAAATTTTACAACAATCACATGTGATTCATTTCGATTCCGACAAGTTTTACTTATTAGAATTTTTTTTCTTTGTGCACTTAATAGGGAAACTAACGGCAGTTTTTTTAATCAAACCAACGGCAGTTTCGGTTGTTGGCCACCACCAATGACTTGAAAGTCTTGATGAGATGGGAGGTCAAAAATTCAAATCTTATCTTGCCTTTTATCGCTTTGCCACTGTACGGCTTCCCCAAATCTATACGGGTGTGTAATGCACATGTCTTGTATGATAGTGGTTCGGTTCCTATTAATTTTCTCGTTGGTCCAGTTGAACCTCCCCTAGAAAAAATTAGGGTAGGAGTGGATGAACATTCAAAATGAGAAATCCAAAAATTCTGGATCTAAGCACACAAAAACCCAAAAAAAAAAAAGAAAAGAAAGAAATATTGGGCCATTTTAGGTACATGACTTAGTTGAAATTGCATATATAAAAGCAATTGCTTAAGTGTACATGGAGATAAAGACTAGATTACATTTCAATTTTTTTTTCAATAGTGTAAACCTCCAATCATCATGTTTTACACTTAAAGACACACAGAGTTTTGTTCTGTGGCTCAGATACTCATTACATGTCAAATTAACACTTAAAACTCATACCCATAAAATCTAAGGTAATAAACTTGCTTTATATGGTAATTATAGTTTGGCAGTAGCTCTCTTTTAATCATTCAACCTTTAAAAGCCTTTGAGAACATGAGCCTGTGCAGTGTGGCATTGAGGATGCTGGATCACAGCCTGCCCGCTCGTTCATGTGATGATTGACTGTGCAAAAAACACACACACACACGCACTTATATATAACGGTTGAAAAATATTCTCGTGCTTAGCTTTATCCCATTGGCGCAAGAAGAATTTAAACCTTTTTATAATGAGTGGGGACGAAGAGCATTTTAACCAAAGATGGTCTTGTCATCATCCTACCGGCCATTACCTGCACCAGATTTTTTTTTTCTAATCTTTTTTTTCTCAGTTTCTTTCTCCCTGTTCTGGAATCAAAGAAAGAGGGTTACTACATTTGGAAAAAGTATGAATTCCACTATAGCCAAATTATTCCCAGTGTTAATATCCATTTGTCCAAGAATAATTAAGAAGCAGATTAATGAAAGTTTCAAATGGAGGTGTCTAAACAAACACACAAAGATTAGATACCTTTAACGTATTAGGTTTACTAACCAATACTTTAAGTTATTATGTGTTATATAGATGTCAATACTAGAATGCCATGGACGGTTAACTTTAGCAGTGGCAGAAAGAAACTTGATGTGTCTGATAAAACTGAAGTACGAAAACTAAAATTTGAAATCTAAATTTTGAATGTATTATTAAATTACTAGATTGTTAAGTAATAAATAATTTGTGGCTTTTGAGTGTATCCCTTTAAAAACGATAATGTATTTGACCTAAAAAGTTGATCCCGTATTCAAAGAGTCAATTTGAACTTACTCAGACATTATATGCAGCATGCAAAACTTAATTCTTAAGTAACAAAATTAAGAAGCAAGGTCAAGTTTTTTCTTTTTTCCGGATGCTAGTAGATAGTGTGTCTAGATACAAAATAGTTTTAAAAAAATTTTAAAATAACAATATATTACTTTTTTGTGAATAAGAAAAACAGTTAAAACGATAAAGAATTACTAAAAGACATGTTTATGACGTAAGTAAAAAAATTTTAAAAAGTGGGCTATCCAAACAAACACACAATTCCCCTGATTTTAATAACAGTAGGTTTGTTTGCATAGAGTATTATTTGAAATAATTACTGTAGCACTTTTTATAATATGATGTATGCTAGATAAAAAGGTGGATTGGAAAATATATTTACGATGCAAACGAAATATATTTTTTTTTAAAAAAATGATATCCAAACATAGCCAGTTTTATTTTGATTTATTTTACATTTTCTTAAAGTTTAATGTCAAACGGAAAAAAAAAAAGAGAAGAAAATAGTAAAATTGTTTCACTGATGGCACTTTTGTCTTCTGCACATGTTTCTTGAGCATGATAGAAGAAGTTCATATATCTATGTATTGTGAGTTTCATAACAATTTGGTATATAACATGCTTGAATTATCAAAACAGAGTACCAAGGAGCAGATGGTAAAGACAGCAACTACCAGTCAAGATTACAGGCTTGAAATCTAGCAGCAGTAGATGGGATAATGAAGACGAGCTCTGTTACGTGCTCAATCATTGCAAGCTTCCGACCACATTGGTACAAATTTGTCCAATCGAAATCAAACATTTGATGGTCAGACATGTACTGACTTTATCAATGACTTCAAATTCATTCAGTCGTACCATTACTTCTTTCTTACTGTTTAACAATTTATTGGAGCCAATAGTCCAAATCGTCGGTTTGGTTGGCCTATACTCTTACTTTTAGGGTAAGGGGACAGCTTAAATAGGCTTGTTTGGGGGTTGGAAGGGTAAGAGGATTAGATAAGTGCACTATTATACTTTCTGAATTTTTCAAAAAGTTATAAGCACTATATTTTTTTTCTGTGATGCATTAAACAGGATTTAAATTCTTGATCTAGTACAACAGAGGGTTTTTAAACAGCTCTCCCTGATTATTGGATAAGGTCCAATAGTTGACTTTTCGGATATACGCCCTTAGATATATGATATAACAATCGGTTTTCACGTCATTTGCTATTTAAGAAGGAATATTTTTCTTTATAAAGGTGTTTGTAATGCAGAGATGAGTGGCAATTTTAAAGTTTTCAGAGAATAAGGGATCAGATTTAAAAAGTGAGAAAGAAGACGGAAAAATTTGAGGTTAGAACCTCTAATTTCTGAACTTCAACCTTAATCGCTATTCTTATTTCTTTTTTTATTTATGTATATACATATATATATATATATATATATATATATGACGAATTTTTTAAGTTATACAAAATATATGGTGGAGTAAAAGTTTTCAATTTCTTCGTCAGATATATATAGGAGATGTTCGAAGCTGTAAACATGCAAATGAAACTCCTCCCTCCTCCCTCCCCCCCC